CATTGAAACTGTAATGCAATTAAAGGACATAAAGCATGATAAACAACTACAATTGAATATCAAAATTTCTTAAATTTTTAGAGGTAAAATTTTTGCATGCTTTTATTCAAAAATCAGAACAAAATTATAAAGGGTAGTTCAGCCAAATTACATTTTGGTTTCCTTCCTGTAACCCCAGGGGTCCCAAACTCTTTTCCCTTTAGGGAGGGTGTCTGCGGTTTTGTTTTTTCCTTTTCAATTAAGCCCTAGAAACCCAGGTTGAGGGGAGTTCCTTACTTTTTGTGCCTTAATTCTAATAAAATATAGGGAAGAGCAAAAACCCGCGACAATCGTGGATTGGGTTTTGACATGCTTGTAAGCATCTAGGGACAGGTATGATGACAGAAAATCAAGCTTGGTTTTGTTTACCGGCCACTTTTTAAAATGAATTCTTAGTTTTGGGGACAAACCCAAATGCAAGCAATAGCCTAAATTTTAGCATTGTTGCGTTATGTCCAAACTAAAAAAGTAATTTAATAGAGCTACACAATCGTTTTCGTACATTAGGATGATTACTGGGAAAGGGAAAACCCAGAAATTCTTTTTGAAATTTTAGGTAAAATACCCCTTAAAATATTTTTTAAAGCATTAAGGGATTTGTTGTTTGAGATTTTTTGTGCATCAAAAAAAAACAAAAAGACTGCAAAAAAGGTATAAAAAAAAGGGATAAATAAAAGGGTTTATACTGTTTTTGGAGAACGTAATGCCTTGGGTTTAAAAGGATGAGAGATTCTGGCAGTAAGCCGTTTTTTTATTTCCCAAAAGAGTCAGATGAACTCGGGATACATTTTATGCTTGGTCGCAGGCAACAATGGGTATCCCACGGTTCATCTACCCTTTTGGGTACTAAAAAAAAACAACTTTCCCCAGAATCTCCTTATCCCTTTGTTGTTTTATAAATTTTTGGAATGTTAGGGTAATCGGGATATAATTTATCTCATGGAAAGAGTAACCACGGTAGGTTTGACCCCCAAAATCAATTAACAAACGGGAGAGGAGGGAGAAATGGCACATTTTAAAAAATTCATCGCTTATGTTCCCCTTTTATTTAAAAAACCCCTTTACTGACTACCCAAAATTCCCTTTTTTAATAAATCTTTAAATTTCACCTTTTAAAAAAAACATTTTTAAACAAACAATTTTTTTTGGGCGCTTGTAAAGAAAAAAAATGCTATTTAAAAAAAAAAAAAAGTGCAACGTAAATATTAAAATTTATATTGACACAGAAAAAAGGGTTTTTTTGGAACTTTCATTTTTCAGTGTGTCATCCACCTAAAGAAATCTTCATTGGTTTGTTTTAAATAGACACCACTGCCCCTGTTTTCCTTACCTGTTGATTAAAAGAGGTTTCCTGGTAAAAAGAAAGAATGATCTCTTTCACAGCCTAAATCCTATTTTAAATATTTATACAGTGTTCTGATAATGCCCCCATTAGATCAAAAAGGGTTTGGGAAAAGGGTCAATACTTTGGGCAGGTGAGGAATATATGGCCCCATTTCCCCTTTTTTTATGTTGAAAGGAGGTATAATATAACACATAGGGAGTAAGTGGCAGGTGGAACTTACCAGGAAAGGTTTTTTAAGGCTTTTTTTACTAGAAACTCTTCAAATTTACATGGAGAGTTTCAGATCAAATTTTGAGGGCACAATGAAAAAGGCTCCCGTTTTTTGAGAAGGCCGTTTAAAGGAACCTCAAGAAGGAAAGTACAACTTTTCAAAGGACGTTTTAACTTTTGTTTTCAATGGGAAAGGCATGATGTGTTGTGGTTGTATAGCTTTTGGACAAAATGAACAACTTTATGGACGACTAGTGAAGCACACACAAAGGAAGGGAAAAACCCAGAAGGTTCTCTCCTCTTGGCTGTCACGGTTACAGTAATCACATTGTGTCATGCCCTGGCACTGGGGACTCTTAAATGTGAGCCAGGTGTGTAGTTTCTATGTTATGTTTTTCTATGTTTAGCTTTCTAGATCATTTAGATCTATGTTTGGCCAGGGTGGTTCCCAATCAGAGGCAGCTGTAGCTCGTTGTCTCTGATTGGGGACCATACTTAGGCAGCCTGTTGGCACCAGTTAGTTTGTGGGATCTTGTTCCGTATAGGTTTGTTGTGTTAACCCTTAAGGACTTCACGTATCGTTTGTTTGTTGTTTTGTCGTGTGTTCAGTACTTGAATAAAATGTACGCTTATCACGCTGCGCCTTGTTCAACCAATCCTTAAACGATCGTGACAGAAGATCCCACCAACTAAGAACCAAGCAGCGTGTCCAGGAACAGACAGCCTGGACTGGGAGGAGATCCTGGATGGGAAGGGATCCTGGACTTGGGAGGAGATTCAGGCCAGAATGGATCGCCGTCCTTGGGGAGGAGACTGTGGAGGCGCGCTATAGAGAGGAGCAGCGGCAACGCAGAGGGTGCCGGCCGAGGAGGAAGCCCGAGAGACAGCCCCAAGAAAATGTTGGGGGGGGGGGGCTAAAAGGGTGGTTGGCGGAGGCCTAGTGTTAGAGCAGAGCCAACTCCCCGTACTCATGCAAAGAAGCGTGTGTGACTGGGCAGGCCCCGTGTTATGCGGAGCCACGTACTGTGCCGCGAGTGTTCCGGCACAGGACCTGTACGTCCTGTGCTAGCACCACGCACATGTCGTGCGAAGATGGGCATTCAGCCAGGACGGGGTGTGCCGGCTCAACGCTCGTGGTCTCCAGTACGCCTCCTCGGTCCCGTATATCCTGCGCCGGTGCTACGTGCTGTATCGCCAGTACGCGTGCACAGCCCCGTACGTCTGTGCTAATGGCCTCACACATATTGTGTGGAGGTAGGCATTCAGCCAGGACGGGTTGTGTCAGCTCTCCGCTCCAGACTCCAGTCCACCTCCACAGTCCGGTACGGCCCGTTCCTGCTCCCGCACTAAAGCCAGTCGTGCGCTTGTTCCCAGTCCGGACCGTTCCTGCTCCCACACCAAGCCAGTGGTGCGTGTTCACAGCCGGTCTGGCCTGTTCCTGTCACCTCACGCCAAGCCAGTGGTGCGCGTCGCCAGCCCGGTCCGGCTGTTCCTTTCCCTCGCACCAAGCCAGTGGTGCGCGTCGCCAGCCCGGTCAGGCCCGTTCCTGCTCCCCGCACCAAGCCAGTGGTGCAGTGTGTCCAGTCCGGCACGGCCCGTGCCCTGTTCCACCGGTGCCTGATCCGGCACCGGTCAGCTGCTCCAACTCGGAGCCAGAGCAATCCGCTCCACCGGGGTCCGGTCCAACTCCAGTCAGCGGATCCACTCCGGAGCCAGAGCAATCCGCTCCAACCGGGGTCCAGTCCAGCTCCGGTCAGCCGCTCCACTCCGGAGCCCAGAGAAGTCCGCTCCACCGGTGCCTAGTCCAGCTCCGGTCAGCGGCTCCAGTCCGGAGTCTGTGCAGTTCGATCCACCGTCGTCGGGTCCAGCTCCAGTCAGCGGTGCCAGTCCAGACCCAGACGTCAGCCCCTCTCCAGGTTGAGGTCTCCCACACCAGGGTCCAGACAGGACTTGGTACGTCGTGGGAGGAAGGAGAGGGGAAAGCAGCGCGCCGAGGTCCAGACCAGACCAGGGGCGCAACAGGGAGGCAGAGGATAGGTGGTGGTCACGCCCGGAACCAGATCCGCCTCCGAGGCGGAATGCCCACCCGGCCCCTACCCTGTTATGTTTAGGTTGCGCGGTCGGAGTCCGCACCTTTGGGGGGGGGGGTTACTGTCACGCCCTGGCTCTGGGGACTCTTAAATGTTGAGCCAGGTGTGTAGTTTCTATGTTATGTTTTTCTATGTTTAGCTTCTAGATCGTTTAGATCTATGTTGGCCAGGGTGGTTCCCAATCAGAGGCAGCTGTAGCTCGTTGTCTCTGATTGGGGACCATACTTAGGCAGCCTGTTGGCACCAGTTAGTTTGTGGGATCTTGTTCCGTATAGGTTTGTGTGTTAACCTTAAGACTTCACGTATCGTTTGTTTGTTGTTTTGTCGTGTGTTCAGTACTTTAATAAACATGTACGCTATCACGCTGCGCCTTGGTTCAACCAATCCTTAAACGATCGTGACACATTGCACATGTGTTTTCACAAAGGCATGCTAATTTCTCAACATCTGATTTTGCCTTTCATTTTGACTCATCCTGTCTTCATTACCGTAAATTGATGGAAAATATTTCTCATAATTAATTAATGTGGATATAATTTGGACCATCATCAAATCAAATCAAATGTATTGGTCACATACACATGGTTAGCAGATGTTATTGCGACTGTAGCGAAATGCTTGTGCTTCTAGTTCCGACAATATCTAGAAAGTAATATCTAACAGTTCCACAACAATTACCTAATACACACAAATCTAAGTAACGGAATGGAATAAGAATTTATAAATATATGGATGAGCAATGTCATTGTCAGAGCGGAATAGGCTAAGATCCAATAGATAGTATAGAATACAGTATATACATATGAGATGGGTAATGCAAGATATGTAAACATTATTAAGTCGTGGTCCTCCCCATCTGTGATAGCATAGCTTTTTACTGGAACTGTTTTTTTTTCCAGCTGTGTTCCCTCTAGCAAATCACAGTTCTCGTAAATAATCAGCCAACAAGATAATAATGTGTTTTCACAGCATGGGCCTGACATTGTCACGGTCATTCAGGTGCTGATGGCCTCAGGCAAGGTGTGACCTAGCCTGTTTACTCAAACATGGAGGGTCCTCTTCAACACAGAGGAACCTGATGACGTTAAGCTGGCTTGTAATAGTGATGGTCGCTCACCAATAAAATCCTTTCCTAACCTAAACCCTTGTAAAAAGAGACTAAACTAGATCTAATAAAAATGGTTTACTTTACGTGCACTTCTGCCTATAGGATTATGTATATATCTTTTTTTTTTTACTAGACACACTAACCTCACAAATATATATTTTGCAGGGGGAGGAACGGCACAGCAGCCCTTGTCAAAATAAGTCCAGGCATGGACCAGCAGCAGTGTATCATCGATACCCACCACCTCACGACACACACCATGGGCAGAGGAGATCTCGGCCGGGGGGAGGGGAAGAAGAGGCTCATCTACATGCTGAAGGACGGTAGCTGCCCCGTGGTGTTCCACCAGTCCCCGGGCCAGTGGAGCTTCTTCCTGGCCGACATCTTCACCACGCTAGTGGAGCTCCGCTGGAGGGTCATGCTCCTCATCTTCTGCCTCTCCTACATCCTCTCCTGGCTCTTCTTCGGCCTCCTCTACTTCCTGATCGCCTACGTCCACAAAGACCTGGAGGACCACGACACAGCACCGTGTGTGGCGAACGTCCGCAGTTTCACCTCCGCCTTCCTCTACTCCATGTCGACCCAGGCGACTATCGGCTACGGCTTCCGGGTGATGACGGAGAACTGCATGGTGGCCATCGTGGTGATGACAATCCAAGCCCTGATGAGCTGCTTCATCGACACAGTCGTCATCGGCATCACCGTGGCCAAAATGGCGTGCGCGAGCAAGAGGGCGCAGACGGTGGGCTTCAGCAGGTGCGCCGTGGTCAACGTGCGCGATGGCGCCCTGTGCCTTGTGTGGCGCATCGCCGACTTCCGCAGGAACCACATCCTGGAAGGTACCGCCCGGGCGCAGCTGGTCCGCCCCACGAAGCACCCCTCTGGGATGATCTCTGTGACCTACCAGGACCTAGACATCCAGAGTAGACACCTCATCCTGGCCACCCCGGCCAGCATCGTTCACAAGCTGGAGCCTGGGAGTCCCCTCTACAGCCTGGGACCAGACAGCCTGAGGGAGGAGGACTTTGACCTGGTGGTCTCCTTCACCTACACTGGTGACTCCACAGGCGTCCTGCACCAGACACGTACCTCTTACACACCAGCAGACATCCGCTGGGGCCAGCGCTTCCAGGACATGGTACAGGTGGGGAGGAGGCACTACAAGGTAGACTATGCCCTGTTCCATCAGACCACCTGGGTGCAGACGCCCATGGTCAGCGCCCAGGAGGGTGACAGGGGGAGACCGCCAACCACGGAGTCTATCGTCCAATCGCAGCAGCCGTTTGTGAGATCGAGCAGGAAATTCCGGAGGTCCTTGGCTGATGTCAGTGAGGAGGTGGTTCAGGAGGCGTGGCTCTGATGACGCTGTGATAATCCCAAAACAGCAGAGACAGATAACTACATTATCGTATTATTACATTATCATTATGTAGTACATTATCACACAGGACTTTAGTAAAGGACTTGAGTAAGTGTAATAGGGTAGTTTCATTGTAAATAACTATTTTATATCATATTTTATACTCCTTTGTTATTTCCTTTATGAATGTAATCATTTAACTAAATGTTATTTTCTATCAGTTAAATAAACAAAGTGTACGTTGTTGAAGTCACATCTGAAGTCCGAGGTCTGGCCTCATTTGAACGTCTTTGTTGTGATGGACAACTGTGCACCAAATGAAATTAAATATACTTTTTTTCTGATCTGATGGTCGTAAAGTTTTATTCAAACACAAAAATACCTTAATGTTTCTTTAGTGGAAAGTTAAGAAGATGATTGTGCATTGTAGTGAATAGTCATATGCAATATGTTTACAATGTATTTCTGTGTTTAATTCAACCTGCTACACATTCTACACAGAGCTGTTAGTTATCACTGACTACTGCGCCAGTACCTCTATATCACCACCTTGTGTTCAGGGTGTGTGTCTGTGTGTGTCTGTGTGTGTCTGTGTGTGTCTGTGTGTACAGTTGAAGTCGAAAGTTCACATACACTTAGGTTGGAGTCATTAAAACTAGTTTTTCAACCACTCCACAAATTTCTTGTTAACAAACTATCGTTTTGGCAAGTCGGTTAGGACATCTACTTTGTGCATGACACAAGTAATTTTTCCAACAATTGTTTACAGACAGATTATTTCACTTATTGTATCACAATTCCAGTGGGTCAGAAGTCAACATACACTAAGTTGACTGTGCCTTTAAACAGCTTGGAAAATTCCAGAAAATAATGTCATGGCTTTAGAAGCTTCTGATAGGCTAATTGACATCATTTGAGTCAAAAAACGAAGACTGTCCCTGAAACACAGACAGTTCTGCCAAGTTGTTCTGCGGGAGTTAGTCGAGGGAGGCCCCGCTCTCTCGCTTCCCCAGATGTTTAGTTAATTTCATTCCGATCTCCTTTGCATTAGTGTAGCCTTTTCTGTAGCCTGTCAACTATGTGTCTGTCTATCCCTGTTCTCTCCTCTCTGCACAGGCCATACAAACGCTTCACACCGCGTGGCTGCTACCACTCTAATCTGGTGGTCCCTGCGCACACGACCCACGTGGAGTTCCAGGTCTCCGGCGGCCTCTGGAACTGCCATTCTGCGGCCAACAAGGCAGAGTTAATCTCAGCCTATGCTACCCTCCAGTCTCGACTTCTTGGCGCTGACGGAAACATGGATTACCACAGAAAACACTGCTACTCCTACTGCTCTTTCCTCGTCTGATCATGTGTTCTCGCATACCCCGAGAGCATCTGGTCAGCGCGGCGATGGCACAGGAATCCTCATCTCTCCCAAGTGGACATTCTCTCTTTTCCCCCTGACCCATCTGTCTATCTCCTCATTTGAATTCCATGCTGTCACAGTCACTAGCCCATTCAAGCTTAACATCCTTGTCATTTGTCGCCCTCCAGGTTCCCTTGGAGAGTTCATCAATGAGCTTGACGCCTTGATAAGTTCCTTTCCTGAGGATGGCTCACCTCTCACAGTTCTGGGTGAATTTAACCTGCCGACGTCTGCCTTCGACTCATTTCTCTCTGCCTCCTTCTTTCCACTCCTGTCCTCTTTTGACCTCACCCTCTCACCCCCCCCCCCCCCCCCCCCCCCCCCCCCTACTCACAAGGCAGGCAATATGCTTGACCTCATCTTTACTAGATGCTGTTCTTCTACTAATCTCACTGCAACTCCCCTCCAAGTCTCCGACCACTACTTTGTATCCTTTTCTCTCTCGCTCTCCTCCAACACTACTCACTCTGCCCCTACTCAGATGGTAATGCGCCGTCGCAACCTTCGCTCTCTCTCTCCCGCTACTCTCTCCTCTTCCATCCTATCATCTCTTCCCCCTGCTAAATCCTTCTCCCTCCGGTCTCCTGATTCTGCCTCCTCGACCCTCCTCTCCTCCCTTTCTATATATTTTGAATCTCTATGTCCCCTATCCTCCCGGCCGGCTCAGTCCTCCCTCCTGCTCCGTGGCTTGATGACTCATTGCGAGCTCACAGAACAGGGCTCCGGGCAGCCGAGCGGAAATGGAGGAAAACTAGACTCCCTGTGGAACTGTCATCTTTTCACTCCCTCCTCTCTACTTTTTCTTCCTCTGTTTCTGCTGCTAAAGCCACTTTCTACCACTCTAAATGTCAAGCCTCTGCCTCTAACCCTAGGAAGCTCTTTGCCACCTTCTCCTCCCTGCTGAATCCTCCTCCTCCTCCCCCTCCCTCCTCCCTCTCTGTGGATGACTTCGTCAACCATTTTGAAAAGAAGGTTGACGACATCCGATCCTCATTTATTAAGTCAAATGACACCGCTGGTCCTGCTCACACTGCCCTACCCTATGCTTTGACTTCTTTCTCCCCTCTCTCTCCAGATGAAATCTTGCGACTTGTGACGGCCGGCCGCCCAACAACCTGCCCGCTTGACCCTATCCCCTCCTCTCTTCTCCAGACCATTTCCGGAGACCTTCTCCCTTACCTCACCTCGCTCATCAACTCATCCTTGACCGCTGGCTATGTCCCTTCCGTCTTCAAGAGGGCGAGAGTTGCACCCCTCCTCAGAAAACCTACACTCGTTCCCTCCGATGTCAACAACTACAGACCAGTATCCCTTCTTTCTTTTCTCTCCAACTCTCCTGCTATCTCTCTCAGAATGACCTTCTTGATCCTCACCAGTCAGGTTTCAAGACTGGTCATTCAACTGAGACTGCTCTTCTCTGTGTCACGGAGGCTCTCTGCACTGCCAAAGCTAACTCTCTCTCCTCTGCTCTTATCCTTCTAGACCTATCTGCTGCCTTTGATACTGTGAACCATCAGATCCTCCTCTCCACCCTCTCCGAGTTGGGCATCTCCGGCGCTGCTCACTCTTGGATTGCGTCCTACCTGACAGGTCACTCCTACCAGGTGGCGTTGCGAGAATCTGTCTCCGCACCACGTGCTCTCACCACTGGTGTCCCCCAGGGCTCAGTTCTAGGCCCTCTCCTATTCTCTCTATACACCAAGTCACTTGGCTCTGTCATATCCTCACATGGTCTCTCCTATCATTGCTACGCAGACGACACACAATACATTTTTTCCTTTCCCCCTTCTGATAACCATGTGGCGAATCGCATCGCTGCATGTATGGCAGACATATCAGTGTGGATGTCAGATCACCACCTCAAGCTGAACCTCGGCAAGACGGAGCTGCTCTTCCTCCCGGGGAAGGACTGCCCGCTCCATGATCTCGCCATCACGGTTGACAACTCCATTGTGTCCTCCTCCCAGAGTGCAAAGAACCTTGGCGTGACCCTGGACAACACCCTGTCGTTCTCTGCTAATATCAAAGCGGTGACCCAATCCTGCAGGTTCATGTTCTACAACATTTGCAGAGTACGACCCTACCTTACACAGAAAGCGGCACAGGTCCTAATCCAGGCACTTGTCATCTCCCGTCTGGATTACTGCAACTCGCTGTTGGCTGGGCTCCCTGCCTGTGCCATTAAACCACTGTAACTTATCCAGAAAGCTGCAGCCCGTCTGGTGTTCAACCTTCCCAAGTTCTCTCACGTTACCCCGCTCCTCCGCACACTCCACTGGCTTCCAGTTGAAGCTCGCATCTACTACAAAACCATGGTGCTTGCCTACGGAGCTGTGAGGGGAACGGCACCTCCTTACCTTCAGGCTCTGATCAGACCCTACACCCAAACGAGGGCACTACGTTCATCCACCTCTGGCCTGCTAGCCCCCCTACCTCTACGGAAGCACAGTTCCCGCTCAGCCCAGTCAAAGCTATTCGCTGCTCTGGCACCCCAATGGTGGAACAAGCTGCCCCACGATGCCAGGACAGCGGAGTCACTGACCACCTTCTGGAGACACTTGAAACCCTACCTCTTTAAGGAATACCTGGAATAGTATAATAGTAATCCTTCTACCCCACCCCCCCTTTACTTCCAATGTCTTTTGTCTAAACTAACACCTGACTTATTTCACCTGCTAGCACTGACTTGTTAAAAAGAAATGTTTTGTATAATTGGTCCGGAAAAGACTTTTCCACAGCCTTTTTTAAAATTTTTCTTTGGGCGT